GGTGTGTTTGGTTGCTATTGTGAATGGGATATATTTCTCCTTATAGGTCCTTATTGGTTAATGTCGCCTACTTTTAAATTAAATTTGTGCTTCTTTGACTTATCCTTTGAACTGGTTGTAACACCTTACAATATCCTTATTAATGTTAAATAAAAATCTTTAACACATTCATTTTTCTATCGCTATGAGTTAAGATTTTATCTTTTTAAAAATTATCTTTTAACATTTGCAATGCATTGTTATTGTCCAACATTACTGAAGTAGATTTGATAGAATTTCATTTATAGGTTTTCCATCTAAGTTCAAAAATTGGATAGAGAGCTTCCCTGGTGGCGCAGTGGTTGGGAGTCCGGCTGCCGATGCAGGGGACACGGGGTCGTGCCCCGGTCCAGGAGGATCCCGCATGCTGCGGAGTGGCTGGGCCCGTGAGCCATGGCCGCTGGGCCTGCGCATCTGGAGCCTGTGCTCCGCAGCGGGAGTGGCCACGGCAGTGAGAGGCCCGCATACCGAAAAAAAAAAAAATTAGATAGAATGTTCTTTTTGGAGCAGTTTGTCAGATGTTGGTATCAGAGTGATGCTACCTTCAAAACCAATGTGAATAACTCTTCAAGATGTTCAACTGTATAACATTGCTATAGAATTGAATTTGTCTATTCCTAGAAAGTTTGAAGGAACTCGCTGGTAAATACATCTGACCTTAAAGTATTTGTAGAAGTTTCTCTTTGATGATTGTTTTCAATGTTTCTACAATTACAGGTCCATTTAGTTTGCAACTTCTCAATAATGCTTGCCATTTAATATTTATTAGATATTTTAAATTTCTCTGAGATTTTCAAATTTATTAAGGTACAATTTAGTAGTATCCTATAATTTAAGAAACCTTTGTATTTGCTCTTATATTCCATTTATCACTTAAATTTTATTTACAATTCATCATTGTTTTCTTGATTAAATTTGCTAGAGGCTTATCTACTTAATTCATTCCCCCATTAAAAAAAACCCTACCCATCGGCTTCATATTATATTGGATTCTTAGTCACATAATTTCATTCTTCATATTTAATAATGAAATATTTAAGGCTATAAATTTACTCCTGAATATTGCTCTCAAAGATTTGATAAGTCATGATCTCGTTTTTGTTATTTTTTATTAGTCTGCCAGTGTTTCTTTGAGCTAATACTTGCATATAAATTGTGTTCTGAAATATTCATGCAGTTGAAGACTTTTGTTTAAATTTGTTTTCAAGTTTATAAAAGTTTTACATTATCATCAGAGAACAGAGAAAGTGTGTCTACTTGCAAGAGTTTGCAAAGGTTTTCTTTGTGGCATATCAATGATCATTTTTTTAAATGTTACCAGAATATTTGAAAATATAGTGCATTCACTGTCTATAGAATACAGTTTTTGACATTTATTAATTAGACCCTATGAATTATGGTTTTCAAACTTTTGAAGTATATATTTTAGGTCTACTTTATCTGATATAGTTAAATTACATTAAAGTTTCCCATATAGATATTTATATAATTTTTCTTCTTTTATTGCAGGTTTTTTCTTTACATATTTAGATCCTTTTTTTTTCCTCAAAGAATGGTTTCATGAATACAAATCCTTAATATAGTCTGTATCTTCTATCTCTTGGGACCAATGTGATTGTATGGTTATTGGTCCTGTTTTGTTTTCTTTTTTTCAAATAGATAAGTGACATGATTAGATGCTTATTTGGAGAATGGATTGATTGGAAGGAGGTGAGACTACAAGATTAGAAGCCAGTGAGAAGACTATTACAATGGTCCAGGTGAGAAATGATGAACAACTGGATTAAGACAAGGGCTACAGAGAGGTGTTTAGCAAGTAGAATAATCAAGACTTGGAATAACTTGGATTGAAGTGGCTTGAGGCAAGTGAGAAGAGTTGAGGGCAACACCTAGATTTATGACTTAGTTAACCATTACCTAAAGAGCAGTATAGGAGGAAGAGCTGGGCTGGCTTTTCAGAATAAGCCATTTTCTGAAGTTCCTTCTTTATATTCACCCACAAACACTCAAGCTCAGACCTAAAGCTCAGTGTTGAATCTTTGTCAGTTGATTGGTTTACTCAAACCAAAGACTTTCTACCTTAGTATAAAACACTAGGCTAAATATTAAATTTCATGGAGATCACATTTCTTTTATATGCTGAGAGCTCTTTCATAAATTAGAAGAATAACTTGGACCAGGAAAGAAGGAATAATGTCCTATACCATCCCCAGGGTAGTCCATAGATGAAGGTTAAGTTTTCCACAAGAGGGCAGCATCACCTAATAAATTACATCATTGAATGCCTCCTCCAATCGGAGTTGAGGTGGGGAAGCTGAAAGTGTAGACAACATAGGTTCTGGGAGCCATAGGACCTGCAACACCATGAAAACCAAAGGGCCCGATTATCTCCAAGGCCATAATTATAGCCACTCTTAAGTGACTGGTAGTGGCAGATGTCACCACAGCAGGGAGAAAGAAGACATGGAGCTCACCAAGGGAGGATGAGTGAGTGACACACCCGAACACTCTCATTCTTAGGACTGGTTCAGAAGCCAATACGGATCATGTCTACATTCCTTCTAAGTGCTGGTACCTCTGTATAACCAATATTTCTCAAGGGGCTTTATTCCCTGTCAGATCTTTTTCACCCCTAATGGTTTCCCAGCAAATCTTGTCCCTGAAGGTTAGGTTGCAAAGCACAATACAGTTTGATGATCTCCTTATTTCATAATGGTGTTTGGTTACCAATTATGCTTCTTTTATACCCTAGGGAAAGGAATGGGACTGAATTTCACTGAGAACCTATTATGTTAAAGGCATTTTACATAAATTGCCTCACTTAATCATCATCCTACTATATAGGAACTATTATTTCCCATGTGACAGAACCAGGAAGTAGCATACATGTGTCTATCTGATTCTAAAACAAAAACTTCTAAATTCACCGAGCTGCCCCTTTAAGAAGCCTTATTTAAAACCTAAATTATGACCTATCCAATACTGAGTCAGTGACCATGTGTCTATTGTATAAGACATTATTTAACATGCCACCTCTTACCTAGGTACATGGGCAGGCATGGCTTAGTCTTATGTAGCAGCAGGTAATATAATAAATCAATGGGATCCTATATAACTTCACCCTTACTAACTCAAAATCTTTCCTCCTAAGTATTCTCTCCTCGGGATAAATCATTTGCATATAGAGCAGGAGAACAATGGAAAAATTAAAGATGGTTTCTGTGTTTCTGGCTTGGTTGACTAAGGGCATGGTGGTCCCAGTCACTGAGATAAGGAGCTTGTGAGGAGAAGAAGATGATGCATTAGGTTTTGAGCATGTTGTGTGTGAAATGCTTCTGAGACATCTAAGTATAAATGTCTAGTAGAAGTTGGTTATAGGGGCCTGGGGCGTTAGAGATCTAGTCATCCACATACAGATGATAATTGAAACTCGGGGACCGGGTGAGATTTTCCATGGTATATTGATGAAATTAGAAAGGGTAGAACTAGGGGAAACACCAACATTTAAGGGATGGGCAGAGGAAGAGCAGGTGGTAGAGGAACCTCATTTTTAAAAAATGAACAGAGAGATAGAAAAAGAACAAGGAAATGGGGTATCTTGAAAGCAAGAAAGGAGAGTTTCACAAAGAAGGGTGTAATCCAGAGCAGCAATGTCAAATGCCATATGTAAGTCATATATGATAAAGACTAGAAATAACCCATTGACTCTGACAACTAGGAGGTAATACATATATTTTGACAGAGTAGTTTCAGTGGACTTCTGGGAGTCAAATTCAGACTGCAGTGGGTGGAAAGCTAAATGGTAGGTGAAGGGAGGTGAAGTAGAAACAGTGAGTATAGACTCGCCTTTTGAGAGACTGGATATGAACAAAAAGAAGAAGATGGGGCAGAAGCCAGAGGGGGAAGTATGATTACAGGAAGACACAAAATTTTTTCTAATAAAAATAATTAAGATGGAAAAATTTAGGCATGTGTATAGGATAAAGGAAACTAACAGAAAGGGAGAAGTATGAGCTCCAGGAGTAGAGAACAAAGATACAGCAGCAAAATGAAAGGGAGACCTATGGTAAGCTCACCTATAGGTGGATGCTTTGGCAGCAGTAGAATGACTGTCCTTATCTTCCAAATATGTCCTTGTCTTCCTCCTGCTTGTGCCACTCTACTTACCTAGAAAGCTTTTCCCCTCCTGATGGTTTCTTTGTCAAATTCTACCTGTCTTTTAGCTTAGATTCCACCTCCTCTATGAAGTATTACCCTAACCATCTCTTCTGAAGTGCTTTCTCTTTCTCTTGAACTCTAATAGCAATTTCTGTCTGAACAATTCATTTGACAATCACCCTTCACCCTGTGGAATCTCCTTTACGGCTTTCTTTAAAAAAATGTACTGCTAATTAATTTCTCTTATGTGTGTCTTTTCTCCCCTGTTAGACTGTACACTCCTCAAGGGCAGGCTTCCTGTCTTAGAGTTTGCCACAGCCTCCAGAGTGCCTACCATGGCTGGGAGTAGGATCTCTTTAAATCTATGTGGTTCAGCAGTGGCAGGC